GTTCAAAATACTTATGTATGTACGTTATAATATAGAAAACTAAAATATTATGTGTTTTTTCTCTTTATTTCGATTTGACACAGATATTCTTTAGAGAAAAATTCAGGTAAAAATTTTTCTATGATATTTATGTACATAAATTTTGTTGCAAACATAATATTATATACTAAATGTGGTACATTAAAGAAATTTATAGAGTGTACCGAAGATATTCATAGTGTATCAGTACCGTTTGTTTTTAGTTTTAGAATATCGTAATTCAGTTAAGTAATAATTTAAATTTTAGAAGGAAATTCCTAAAAGTAAGGAACTTTATAGGTAAAGAATTATTAATAAACAAGTTTCGTTTTAATATTATGTATAGTTATTCAAATGTACTAAGTTCTTTGAAACCAAACACTTTAATCAAATTAGATATAGTTTGTTAGCACTTAAATTTCTTTAAGAACTGTTCAGTTAATTACAATACCTTTATTATCGTATTAAAAGTCATTAAATTGGCAAGATTGTGTTCATTTGTTCCAGAAAATTTTACGAAGTTACAAGTCATATATCTAGATAATACTACACACATTAATCGTCATTCCTGACCATTTGCTCTAATTTGCTTTATCTATCCTCTAGTATAACAAAATATTTTTGAATTTTTTCAATTAAAAATATTTTGCTTACTGATATGACTTATTTTAAGAGAGTATGCTTTTATACATAGTATTTATCATTCTTCTTATTGGAATTGTTTAATATTAAACATGTTAGAAAATAGCGACACAAAATATTTTGGCTACATTTCACCATCACAAGGGTTTAAAAGTTTTACGTACACCCCTTGTAAAATATGATTTTAGTAAAGAGAAATGAGAAAAAGAAAATTAAATACAAGAAAATTACAAATGCAAAAAAACAAAAATGCAAAAAAAAAACTGGGATTTTGACCTAAATTTTCTACTTCTCCGGCCTTTATTGTTTGAAGATAAGACAACTATAAGAATAAAATGTTATTTTCATTTTTAGTATTGTGACTGACTTTCAGTCTTTTTTACTTTGTAAAATTTTACATGACAATGAAATATTGTTTTATAAACTTAGCTGTATAATGTAAAAATACTAGTAATTAAATAGTAACTAATTTAAAATAATTTGAGCAATGTGATATAGTTATAAATTCATAGGACTTAATAAAAGAATGGACACTGTGTCCGTTCGATTTAATGTAGACTATACAATGATTAGAAATATGAAATGAACATTCACGAATAATATACCAAATTCGAAAAGTTTTCTTATAATTTTTGTTTTACTCAAAATCATTTAAACTCAAAATTTACTTAATTACTCTAATTACTGGATCTAATAAACGCAACAAATATAATGAAATCTTATAAATTAGTAGGAAAATAATTTAATAATTTTTAAACTGTATAGTTGATTACTGCTTCCATAAGAATTTTAGTTCATTAGAATTTTAGCAAATTCAAGAAAATCGAACTTTCGTCCTATTATTTGCGGTTTACTTTAGCTAAAATTTTAATATGAGTTTACCATATTAAAATTTAACTTGTTAAAAACATCTTAAATTCAACAATAAGATCTATGGTATCTTAAGAGTCGATATAGAAGAATATGCAATAATTGATTAATTAAATTAATTAACTTTAACACATTTTCTTTTCACATTACAAAATACACATTTTACTTTGATTATATTCACTTATATTTTGAAGTTCAACTTCTCCCTAAACACACTGGGAACAAAGGAAGAAAAATTATTGTACATAATATGCATCTTATGGGTACACATTTCTTTACGTGTAAATTTCTAACACTTTACTTTTAATTTGGTTTTTTTCATAAGATTGTTTCATTAAAACAAATGATTTTTCTCTGATTCTAAATACACTTGGTTGTATAACTATGCATTTATGTATGAGAAGCAAACATATCAAGCTTTTACCATTTTTCACATATAAAAAAAAATCAATTTGAAAGAAGGACTTCGTCATGATTCTGATTAAACCCAAAAGATTAATTTATTTTCAATTTATTTTTCTTTTTTGTTTCATTTCTCTATTTCGTATTTAAAATCTATATGTAGAAATAAAAGATTAAAGAATTTTAACCTTTAAGAAATAAGAAATAGAAAATAATTGAATCAACAATATTATATAATAAAACATATAAAATAAGATTTATTTATTGGTAATGTCTAGACAAATTTCTAAAATCAAATTCATTTTTAAAAGTTTTTATATTTTATTTTTTTTGGGATAAACAGCCGGTAAAAGCATATTGTGGTATAGAATCGTTAATAACTAAAAAAAATATTATATAAGATAAATATCCTTTTTCTTATAAATGTTAAAAAATTCAATAATATTCATAAATTAAATTAGAGAATAATATGGTTGCCTATTTTAGTGTAAAATATTTAATACGAGTATTTCGTGGGTAATATAATATTATAACTCTTGAAATTTCATACAATTTCGGAAATATTCAAGAAATTGTTCTTAATCATTGAATATACATTCGGAATTCGTATTTTTCTTAAAGGACATGTAACACATGCGGATATGGATACAAATGGAAAAGTGCTTTTTAAAAAATTTAAAGTTTACAGTCGAAAATAAGAGAAATTTCACGTTGAGAACAATGACACGGTCAATATGGTGTATGAAATAAAAAAGTTCTCATTAATTTCCTCATACATTCAAATGATTAAAGATGGTCCGGATCTAAAGGATAGTACTGCATCTTTCCATTACAAACTACTTTAATGTAAAAACAAAATTATTTTTTATTGCCATAGTTTTCATTTCTAAAACTGAAATAGAGTATCGCTTTACAAAAATGATCCTGAAGTTTTAAAAGTTTTCTAATTGATCTATGTCTTAAAAGAATTGAAAGACATTTTTTAAAAATATCCATAATACACATTTTCTAGTAGTCCTGACTGGTAATGAATGAGTGCCATTTTTTTCATAAATTTCCTAATTAATAATATTTTCGTAGAAAATCGATAACGAATGACATTATTATTTAATTTCGCTTAATTTATATTATTAATACTAATTTATTAATTTATTTAAATTAATCGCTTAATTTTTTATTTTATACTTCTAATTTTATTTTATATACATTTATTTATATACAAAAGAGACGGTGAAGTATTTGTGCGAAATAATTTACTGGAGATAGTAATTGGAGATTAACTTGCACCCATACTACCCAACATAAAATCTAATTTCTAAAAAAATCCTAATCTAATACTCGTGCATATTTTAATATACGAAAATTATGACTTTATGAAATCATGCAACAAAAACAGAAAAAACATTTTTTTTTCAGCCCAAGTCAATTTTTTTCAATTTTGATTTAAATTCACGCATAATGTATATATAATATATCCATACATACATACTTTCTTAACATATTATTATTATATTTACATTTTTAATATGAAATAAAAAAAAACCTATAATAAATCAATTTATTACCAATTTTTATGGTTTATTTTACAAGGAATAGGGGTATGTAATGTATGTATATAAATTAAAATTTAGGGCATTCAAATCAAGTCTAGATCTTGGTTATTATAGAAGTATAAATTTTATTACTTAAGAAAATAAATTTTAGTCGTTTTAATATATGAAATAAATTTATGATTTATTTATGCACCTACTCATAGAAAATAATTTACCGACTTATGAATGGAACACATTTCAGCCCATAAGAATATTTTCATATTTTTTGAATCATATAACAGTATGAGTTCAAGGATTTCATACTATGATTTCTCTCCATATACCAGTGCATCCTTATACATTATATTGAGACGTGTTTATCTATTTTTATTAGGACTGTAATAAAAAAAAAAAAACAAATTTTATGAGTTTCAAATTTATCACCCAAGATCAATATCTGCTTCATGATATTATTTATTTTGCTATTTTTATAGGATATTTTATAGGATTAATTAATTTTTAAATGCATATTTTCACCATAACTATAATACTGTTGCAAAAAATTAAAGAAAAACCGATTTTATTTTAAAATCTAGAGTTACTTGTACTATCCAATTTCATACGGCTTAAGTTCTATTTTACCTACAACTATAATGAATTTTATTAAAATCTACAAAATAGTTCTTTAGAAGAATAACCTGTAAAAATTTGAATTTCAGAAAATTGATTTACAACAAAACAACAAATATGGTGTATAACAATTTTAAAAATAATAAAAACTAATTAATAAATAGATTTTTTTATTCATCCAGTAATAATTACATTTCTGCTATCTGCATCCTTTCTTTCTTTCGTAAACATTTCATTCATTCCTTTTTTTTTCAAATACATATGCATACATACTTTTCAAAAAATTATTTTCACCACAATTCCAATTTTACCAAAGAAAATAATAACATAACCTTAAAAATAAATATTAATAACGAAATTGTATAAAACATTAAAACAACAATAATAATGAAAACATTAGAAAATGTCAAAATATAAACTGTCATAATTATCATTTTTGCCAACAGTATACATACAAGGTATACAAAACAAAATGACACTCAATGTAGCCAACATAATAATATTAATGCGTATAAAATGGAATAAATATAACAACAACAATACATAAATAAATAAAAGACATTTTATAGTTGTATAAAAATTTCGGTATCTACAAAATCTCTCCACAATCTAAAAAGCAAAATATACATTTTTGATTACAGAGAGAACAAATAAAAGAAAATAAAAATAATAACAAAAACGAAAATAAAATCTCCATTCCTCTCCACATTATTATTTCTATATGCATTTTACTGTAAAGAAAATAAAGCAAAAAAAACATAAAGTAAGCAAAAAAAAAAATTTACATTTTTTTCTTTTTCGTTCTTCTTTTTGTATTCATTTTGACATCTTCTCTCAGTTAAAGTCAAAATTCATAGAAGATTTGATTTTTACATGTGTTTGTGTTTTTGTCATCGGGTCGCGGTTTTTATTCGTCGTCCAAGTTTTTTTTTAGAAGAAATTTTTGTTAAAAATTTTTAATATTATAAAAAGTGTAAAATTGAAATAAATAATATTTGAAATATTAAAATAATTAATATATTTATAATTATAAAGTTCGATTTAACTGCAAATATTGAAATAGAGTTCGAAATAAAGTGAATAAATGAAATGGAAAAAAAATTTTTTTTTTTGTACTTTAGTGATTTTTATATGAATATGTAATAGAAATAAAAAAAAATTACTGGCGAAAAAAAACACGAAATGAAAATTTAATTTTTAAGCAAAAAAAAACAAAAAATCAAATATTCTTGCCACCATTTAATTGTGTACTATTTATTAGCATTTTTCTCTAAATTAATTGACAAATTGAAAAAGTAAAGGTTTTCATTATTTTAGAAGGAAGAATAAGAAAAAAAATTAAAATTCATAATTTGCAAATTATTTAAAATTTTTGAATTAAATTTTCTTTGCATTATTGAAAATTCAATTTTCAATTGAAAAATTCTACTTAATTAATAAAGTAATTTATGTTATGATTTTAAAGAAATTTCATATTTTATTTAGTGTAATTGATAAAATCTTGTGTGTGTTTTTTTTTTCTTTTCTTAAAAATTTTCTATATTCTTATTAGCAAAATAAGTATGTGTGTATGTATATATAAAAAGTATATTTATGAATTGGGAATATTATTTTATTTTCTTATTGACAGCTGCTGCTCTGCTGTATAGAAAAAAAATTTTTTTTTTCTTACCATCAAAGAAAATAAAAAAATCAATAAAATGTGCAAAAGAGAAATTTATATGTGTGTGTTTGTGTGTGAATTTTTGATATACTAAGTAGGTATACTTTTTATAACATTTATTATAATTTTTTTTCTTACATGAAAGTAATTCTTACATAGTGTCCAAATAATTATCCAATATTCAAGAATAATATAAATGAAAAAAATTTTTGATATACAAGATTATTTAATAAAATTTTCCCATAATAAACATTGAAATTTTTATCCTATAAGAATTTCTCTAGTTAGAATAAATTTTATTCGAACAAGAATAAATATAGTACGTGTGTGTTTGTGTGTGTTTGCATAAATTGGTCTATTTTGTAATGTATTCTCTGTTATGTGTATACAGAATTTATTTTTCAGTACACTTTTTTTTTTTCTTATACACTTGTTTTTTCTTTTTTTCTTTTATATTAGCTCTTATGAAGCTCCCATCTATCCAACATTAATTTACTTACATTACATACAATGTGGGTTTGTATTAAATTCGCTCGTTTTTTTTTTTATTATTTATTTTTCTTAATTTTCTAATTCATAAATTTTAATATTATATTTTAAAGAATGTTGTTTTTATTTTCTCATTTTTAATGATAATTTAAAATGTATAAGCAAGAAGAGAAAAAAATTTATAAAAAAAAATGCAATTTTTTACCGTGATGTTGATATTTTGTATTGTAATTAATTCTTAATACTTTAAACCATTTGAATATTTAAATGAAAAACAAAATTAAAATATTAAATTAATAAAAATAAAAATCAACAAAGAATTTAATTAGACCAGGCACCTAATAAACGCCATAAAAATGTAGGTACATATGCATATTTTCATACCAGTATGTTGGATACTTGAGTAAGCAGGAACGTATACATGACGAGAAAGCAAGTACATATGTAGATACCAACCTACTGACTAACTAAAAAAAATTCACATACATTCCTACACATTATCAGCCTACTTACTTATTTATTATTTTAATAAGATAACAAATTACATTTGAAATGTAAATTTTTATTCAGTAATAAAGGAAGATGGTATTATCACAGCTATGTATATGGAAATGTATAGATTCAAGGCAGCTGTAAATGTTTAATTATGCATGTGAATATTCCTATTAATTTAGCTATATATATACATACATATGTATATTCTTACTTACTTTCAAAATATGTTTTTACATACATTCAATGAAATAACTAAGCAAGTTATGCTTTATGTTCTAAGTATGCAAAATATACCTACATAATTACATAAAATTAGGTACTAAAAACATATATTTATCTACATATTAACTATTAACAACTTACTGTATATACATATATGTAATATTATCTACAATGAGTATGTAAAAGCCAGATATAAAAATAAATAACTAAATTGATTAGGAAGATATTATTAGCATTTTATTTTTATGATAATTTATGCTGATTGTGTCAAATATAAAAAATTTTTTTTTCTTTTATTTTCATTTGCATTTGTTCTTGTTTTTTTTTCAACTTTGATTCAGTTAGTCTTGATATTTTTACGCCTAGCTGTTTATATAATATATATATATATGTACCTATATTGTTTTTTTGTTGTAGCTACTATACTAAAATTATTTTATTCAATTCAATTCAGAATACATTTATGTATGCCATTACGAAATAAGTCAATATACATTTTATTAAATCCATTGAGAAAATATAATAAATATAAAAAATATAAATTTTTATAAAGAATAAAATGCTGTGCAATTGTCGAATACACACATAAGTATACATAATATACTTACATATTACTTACAATAAATAAATTGGTTATAAAATTAGGTTTGCCAGATCTAAGTTTTTTAATATGGAAATTATAGCAGTTATTACATAGATAACTGATAATAGTCGATTCTAAGTTCAAATTTGCAATAAATCTAAGGGTTTGAGGAATAAAATGCCGGTTGTTTGCAAGCATCCTTTTTTCTTATAAAAATAATTTCTTACCTAAAAATTATATTTACCAAACCGATTCTTTTGTAGTTCGACCGCAAATGATAACAGCACTTACTCTAATTAATTCTCAGTAAAATACATGTGTTCATAAATAATTTTTAATATACGTTTTCTTTTTCGCCTTATCTTTAATATGTTCATTATGTGCTCATGCGTTCTAAAACATTTTACGTGGATTGATATCATTATTTAACCTAATTTAGTTACTCAGTAAATAATATACATACTTATATATATACACATAATGAATAACAATTGTAGTTTTCAGAGTTTGTGAGTGTAATTTTTTATTAAATCATCTTTTGAACTGAAAAAAAATTGATGTATATTGAATTTAAGACTAAAATTCTAGTTAGAATTCCGATCTGTTATAATTGTAAATAACATACTTACTTGTTTAATTTTTTCAAAAACATTTTGTTTATGCACTATTTAAATTAAGATGTGCAACATAGAATAATTTTCCTTTTGTAACCAATTATTAAAAATTTAAAAATCAATTAATCAATAACTTATTTAGTTAAAATTTTTTTCAATATTTTTCTACTGCAAACAGCTTGACCATCCTATGTACCCATTATATACGTATATCTATACGAATATGCATATTATCAAAATTCATTAATAAAATTTTCTCCCATCCCAAAATTATCATGTCCAAATGTTTATGACAGTATGAGACTTTTTTATTTTTAATCTTTGAATGATCAACAAACTAAGTTTTAATCTGAAATATGTATGTACAAAAATGTTCAATTCATTCATTTACTTATACTTATCAACTGGTGTGAATTTCAAATGGTTGCGCCTATTGTTTATTATTTTAACTTTATTAATTTTCTTTTTTATTAAATTTCACACCAAAAAACAAGCTTAGCTTACTGCGGTTATCTTAAGTTGTATACAAAAATAAACCTATTTTCAATTTTTTTGTTTTATGGTTAGTTTTGTTTACAAAAAGAATTTAAAAAGAAATGAAACTTTTTTAAATATTAATATTTTTTTTTTTTATTCACTTGATTGTTGTGCTACTTAAAATAAAAAATGTGTAAAAAATTACAAGTTTGAACGCAAAAATAATATTTTTTCTTAAAATAATAAAAAACATTAATAACCATAATAAAAGCGAACCAAAATCTTTTGTTTTTTATATTGTGTGTATCCGTATTTTATTTGTAATAGAACTATGGAAGCCCCAGTATTTGACATTTAACTTTCCAAAATATAAAATTGTATGTGTTTGTATATTGGTGTAGGTATTCATGTATGAGTATTAAGCAAAAAAGAAAATAAGGGAAACAAAAAAATCTATAGATATCTACATTCTTCTTCTTTTTTTTTTTTTGTATGAATAAATCGGGGTTATTCGCAGCAAAGTAACATGCCTGCGTACTAGATTCTATCATGTGAAAAATAAAATAACAACAATAACACAATATATAGTTGAACATAAACAGTAAAAATAAATTTTTTACTTACTTTCTGTATTTTCATCTTTCTTTAGAAACTTTTTCTGTATCTCTAGTATATCATCCAGTATTACATTATACATTAGATATAGATATCGAGATTTCATACACATGTATATATATATATACATTTGTGCATGCATACTTATTTTTATTCATACAACATTTACTTTACAGATTAATTTTTCAAAAATTTATGATTATCTCTACTACAAAATTACAATTGTTATTATTTATTTGAAAAAAAAGAAAATAAAGAGAAAAACCAAATGTTTAATTTAAAAAAGTTGAGAAAGGAAAGTAAAATTTTTACGCCTAACTGTGTTTATATAGAAAATTGTGTATAAGAAAAAAGAGATAGAATTCTAAAATTTTCCCCCAAAATTTTATTTTGCATTTAAATAATATGATAAATAATCATTTATATGTATGTATGTATATGTATATGGAAATTTTTATATTAACAAATATTAAATATAAGTACATACTTACATACCTATTTAATATTAAAAAATAAAAATTTGTTTTAAATGAAAATTCTCCGTTCCAATTTAGTTCTAGTCAATTCTACCAAAATTAACTTTATACTTTTACTTTATAATATAATATACTTATTTATAGAAAATAGTAGTGTGTATTAAGTATACACGTATATTTAAACAAAAAATTACTCTCGCTGATAACAAACATCATCATAAATTGATAAATTCCCATAAATGTTGAAAAGAGAAAAAAAACCATTATGAAAATAAGCAAAACAAAATAAGAAAAACAAAAATATTATAAAATGCGCGACATACTGCCCTCAAAGTGTTGTACAATTATAAAAGATACCTACATATAAATATACATTTTTTTATGAGAACATAATTGCAAACATACAAAAGTTACATATTATGTGTACACACATAATATTTTATAAAAGTTTGCTTACAATTATCATTATCAGAATTATTATTATAATCAATATCATTAATGATTATTATAATAATTTTTTTATAAAATCAAGAATCATTGCAATACAATAGTATAACATAATTTGTTAGCAGTATACACATAAATTACCTACATAAAAATATTCTTACAAAATTATTACAGAATAATGCATAAACATACATACATAAGTACATACATTAGA